TAAATGATTCTTCCTAAGTGGGGGAAGAAAAACCTCTCTAAGCTGCCACCCTCTTTTCAAGTGAGTTACCTGCTCAAAAGTTCGGTCATAAAGGTATCTTTTGTTGAACATGTAACAGGGCTGGATCTGTTTCTCGGTTCAGACTTTGTTTGGTGGTAAAGGTCTTTCAGGTTATTTTTGTTTTGAGAATCACTGTCTGGATTATCTGTTGACTTGGTGTGTCTGTTAAGTTCATTTTCTGTCTCATACTGTGGTTCAGGTTTCTTTTTCTCTTTTTTCCGCTCTGATTTTAGTTGTTTGTTTCCAAACGCCAAGACTTTTGCATCTTTCTTTTCCACTTTGGTTTTGGAGACATCCATTTTCCTACTACTGAGAGCTGGAAGTCTACTCTTCCGAAAACCAAACCAGCTGGCAAAAGAAGGCCCAGGCTTATGCTTTGCTTCTACAGAGGTGGACTTTGTTTGCACTTGGCCCTTTTCCACATTTTCCTGAATGCACAACATGACCTTTTCTTCGATTGTGGGTGAGAGGGGGGCTTCTGGGCTCACAGTGCCAGCTCCAGTTGTAGAGGAATCTGGATGCCTTCCAGAAGTTTCTAGCTTAGACGTCCTGCTTGTTTCAAAATTGTTTGGATGCTGTGTCCTCCCTGGGCTCTGCAGGGTTTGAGAGTGGTCTGTTTGGGTGGGTGGGTGCCTGCAGTGATCACTGTCTGGTTCTGCAGATACAGGCACACTGGGGCACCCTCCCTGGGCAAAGGCCTGCAGGTCTTCCATTCCAGGTGGGGTGATGAGCCCTTCGGATTTTAGAAGGCTCCTCAAAGGCAACTTGCTTGGGCTCTCATGCTGACTGCTAGAGCTGCCTGTGCTCCCCAGGGAGTCATGCCTAGAGGAGAGGTGCCCCAGGAGCCTCCCAGCACTGGGGAGACTCTCAGACACAGGGGCTGAAGGGGTCTTGGTAGGAGAGCCTTCCGTAGAGGAGTTCTGCCGGGTAAGAGAATTGCCCCTCTCAGCAGTGTTGGTAATAATCTGAGTTCGGACTTTGCCTGGTCCTTCCATGGGAGGTGTGGAGGGCTTATCTCCTGAGTGAATACTGAAGCTCTGACTGCGGGCTTTGGCACCATTCATGCCTAGAGCTGGTTTTAGGTGTGGCTTACTGGATGAAAGGGATCGTTTCACAGATCTGTTGTCTACCCCATCTCTCCCATCAGCCCCAGGGATGCTGTTTTCCGATGACTCTGGCAGTGCTATTTCAAGGGGCAGCCCTTCGGCAGAAGTGTCCTGCACTTGTGAACCTGGTGCAGTCACATTTCTTTCTCCCACTGTGGGCTCGAGGCTTGCTGGATTTCTGCAGTCCTCGGGCTTAGACTTGCTCACAGCAACAGAACTTTTAGAGGCTTCATTTAAACTGTCTTTTTCATGTTTCCCTGGCACAGTGGGACTTTTCCTGAGTAACTGGGGAGACTTCATGAGAACTTTGAGTCCTACTGGGAGGCGAGTTTTCAGTCCTTTCTCGTGAGTGCTTTGACAACCATGTGAGATGCTATGGCTTCTGGAGGAGGAAGATGATGATGAGGGATTGTTAACCTGAGAAGATAGTGACTCATTTACCCCTAAGATTGAAGGCTTGGGGGACACGGGGACACTGCCATTCAATTGTCCTTTTCTTCCTGGGGACACACTTTTAGAGGACGGTATTTCCAGAGACTCAGAAGTTGAAAGGCAGTTCTTGGGAGTGCGTAACCCTGTGTCTGTGTGTGTGGTCCCATGCATTTGGTGAGGAGAGGTTTTGGGGACACCTCTCTTTGGAGATACCTTTGGCGGTCCCATGGCCATCACAGCAAATGTGCTGGAAGGGGCATGAGTGGGGCATCTGGTTTGAACCACTGTTTCGGTGGAGGGCAGAGGGTGAGTGTAGACAGACTTTTTCAAGGCCACAGCAGGTTTCTTCTTCAGCACTTCTGTTGTGGTCTGATTAGAAGAAATAACAGGAGCAGAGGTTCCTTTCAGCAGAGGAGATTTGAATACTGTCCTTACTGCTTCACTGGGAACCCTGGTTTCAGGCTTGGTAGATGAAGGTGGTGGAGAATAGTCATAACTGGGCCTGATCAGGAGGGAGACTGACCTGCCTGGAGGAGGTGGGGGAGAAGGGGATTTGACCCTTGCCTCTGACCCAGAGTTACGATGCTTGTCCCTAGTGGGGGGTTCCCCACTGTCGCTGGGCTCAATAAGGGGCCTTGACCATGGTCCTGGAGTCTGACTCTTGGAGCACTGGGCCCATTCCCTCCTGCTGGACATTCTGGAGCCATGAGGAAGTTGGGTGGAGTGTTTTGGAATGTGTGAATCTGGTTGTAAATCAAACAGGGGCCCTGGGCTCTCAGTCTTTATGAACCGTGAGAGTTTCCCAGGAGCTAAGGTTGGTGATTTTTCAAGAGTCACCAGGCTGGATGAGGGGACCAGTGTGGAGACTTCAGGGTCCATTATTTTTGATTTCTGAGGTGAAGACTTGCCCCTGGCAGGTATTTTTGTCAAGCTTTGCTTTTGATGGATACCCATGGATGCCAAAGGCTTTGAGTTACTCTGGCATGACGTATTATATGTTGGTTTGGCCAGCTTATGTTGCTGTGTATTTTGTATTGCTGTCCTGGGGCTGAACGATTCAGTGGGTGCCATGGGAACATTATCTACATTATCTTTTGGAATGTTTTTCTCAATTTCCTCTTCAGATCTCTTTAAGAAAGTATAGTCTCTTGCAACAGCTCCTGGCTGTAGACAAGCAATTCCCTGAGGTAAAAGTTCAGTGTGTTCTGCCTTGGGTCCAGTAGGGGCTGAGTTGATGGAAATTTCATTTCTGGTAACAGTGACAACACCAGACTGATGAGAGCTGAATTCAATGGGTTCGCCATCTTCTGCATCAAATATTACAGTGACACATTCTTCTGAAGAAGTCCTTTTCACAACCCTTTGCTGCTTAATGAAACTAAATGTCTTTGGCCTAGTCTCTAAGTGGATGGGTACTTGTTTCTCCTCCTTTTCGGGAGACCCAAGCTGAGACTTTCCAAAGCCCACAAGGAGGTCCAGGTTCTCTATGGACTTGTCGGTGTCAGCGGTTAACGACAGGTCAGAAGGGCTTTTGTCGTCACTGCTTTCTATGTGCAACTCATCGAGGGTTTCATTGTCATCAGTGTCTGACAGCTGGAGATTGAGGGTCATGTGGCCATGGCCTTGGTTGTGCGGATCCCTCTCCCTCTGGATCTGAGGTGCCTGCACACCTGGGCACAGCTTCCTCTCCAAGGGGCAGTTGTTGACATAACTAGCCAGTTTTTCAGGGTTTTCTCTGAGATAAACTGAGGATGTGCCTTTTGGAAAGTGTTTTTCATTTGGCTCCCAACTGAAAAGACTATCAGAAATGCTGTGGGTTAATTTATGGCCAAGCAGCCTGCAGCCCTGGTTTGGAACTGCACGGAACAACGCTAGGGAAGAAGAGTCATCGTCAGCATCGTCGTGGGAATCCGTATCATAAACAAACAATTTGCGGGGCTCCTTGCAGGAGGACCCCATATCACTTGGTTTGCAGGGAGGATACTCCTTGAGGCTGCTACTCTTAATTCCTGGAGAATATATGCCTTCATTTGAGTTCATGCAATCTTTATAACCCCATTTGGTTATCACTGATGGAGGTTCAAGTAATACTTTTCGCTTTTGTAGCCTTTTTAGCCCTTCCAAAATGTGGCTTTCCTTGATACGAGTTGGAGGTAGTTCATCTGTGGGACTAGCAAAACCACTTGGGAGCGAAGAATCAATACTTAGCCTTTTGTCCCAGTTTTGTGATGACTGCTAAGAAAGAAAGGAGATATCAGACATGATTGAGCCAAGCACACCACAAATATATAGAAGTCCTTCACTAGATAATCTGCGCTAGTGGCTGATATTTATTCAGATATAAATGCATTCATTAATTAGCTTATTAAGTAATTCATTAATTATGCAGTTAACATTGATTTTACTAGGTCCTGTGGTAAGTAGCACAGTGATATAAAGAAATAGAAGGTAAAGATCCCGCCTTCAGGGGTAGAAAACCCAGCAGAAAAGAGGATACCTGGCCATACTAGCTGTATGTCAAGGGAGAAAATGACAAGTATAATAGGTAGTCCAGAGATTAGAGAAGGGAGACCAGATCTATGTGAAAGGAATTATAAAGGGATACAGGAAAGTTATTATTTAAAAAGCAACAACAAACACTTAACTAGCCCTTGAAATATAGATGAGTTTGCCTTACATAAAAGTAGTAGAAATGATTTACTGGTAAAAGAAATGGGATGAGTTAAGAACTAAATTGGGGAGATACGTTCAGGGTATGCTAGGAATGACTAAAAGATAATATCGCCTCACTGTGGAGTGTCTATAAGAGGTACAGAGGGTAAAGCTGGAAAAGCAGGTGGTCCATATCTTTGACTTCATAATTTTATTTGATAGGGAGTGAACACCTATAATCATATTCTTAAGGTATTATACACATCCATCCATACATACATATAATAGCTGGGCACTTGTTGTTAGAATCCTACAATAATTATTCACCTACTAACTTAAAAAGATCACTTTCTTGCTCTTCATACCTCCCCAATACCAGCCTCACCTTTGGAAAAGAATATGGAAAGTGATACAGGAAAAAGGTTATACTGTATCAATTCTTATTTTTCATAGTTTTGTTAATGAGAAATAGAAGGGCAAAAGGAGGGAATTAATGTTTTTTTAGCAAGTACTGTACACCAGGTACTTGCACAGTGCTTTAACTTCATCTTCAGAACACACCACAGAAAGACCTCATCCTTCCATTTTGCTATGGAGGAAACTCAGGTAGCAAGATTTGGTCTGTTGGAGACCACATGGTAAGAGCTGGAGCAAAGGTTTAAACCGTGGTTTTTCAAGTTCTTTCTACAACACTGCTAATTTTGATTCAGTTCAAAAGTGGCTGAGACAGGTGTGAACGTGGGCAGTCTGACTCTGGAGTCTACACTCTTAATCTCAAGGCTTTCTAAAGTCAAGCTTAGCTTCTTGTCTCTCCTCTACATTAGTTATTGTCATATTAGAGATCATAGGTTATCCCTCCAACATTTTTTGAAGGAACTTGCAGACTTAAATAACAAACCAGCCCCTGGGGAAATTGGCAGGCTATAAGGGTTGACCTGAGTTAGTGACTTTCTCTAAAAGGCTGTAGGGGGCCCAGCTGTGGTAGAACAAGCAGCAGGGTGCCACTGCATGAGACTGGGGTCATGTGGATGCCTGGGTTCAGATCAACCTAAATAGGCTGGATTAACCTAAACAGACTAGGCAGCTGGCTCATGCCTGTAATCCTAGCTAGGGAAGCTGAGGCAGGAGGGCTGCGGCATAGTGAGACCCCATCAAAAATACCCCTTCCCCCCTCACTTTTTAAAAAATGCTGTATGATTAATAGTGAAGAAGTTCAAGGCAGTTCAGAGGTGTGCACTATACCAATCTTAGTTATACCAGCTGCCCCTCCCGCCCTGGGGACACAACTCTGAACACTAGCCACATGCTCATATGCAGAGATTTTTGAAAACTCCCACTGGTATCCTTTTAGTAAGCTGTGAACATTCACTTGCATCCAAGACCTCTTCATGAAAATTACTCTTGCAATCAACGTGTTTATTTGTTTTTAAATCAAATCATACATTTTCTTTAGGAAATTGCCCAGTGTCAGAAATTTCTGGGGATAGATGCTATTGGGTGATGTTGGCCTTTCTGTCCCTGTTTTTCCCATTCCACTAATAACCCCTGAGAAATCAGTATAAATTCCGTTAGTGAGCTTGGACATTAAAGAACAACCATAGAGAAGGCTGCCACCACTTGGGTTTCTAAGAATTTCCATGATCCTAAGAGTCATGTTGACCATACAGAAGAGAAGCAATGTAGAAGTGATCTTTCAGGGCTTTACAGAGGCAAATTTATTCAACCTTTAGAAGAGACTGTGGACTCTGCCCATGCTTTTCTTTTCTTTTTGGAAAGATTTTTGCTATAGGGCACATGTACTTGCCAGAGAGAGACAGACAGAGAGAAAGCAAGAAATCATCCCTTAGGGGGATGGCCATGCCACAATCCCTTCTCCTCTATTCTCCTCTCAGGATTTTGGGTATGCACGCACACATGCCTGGTGTGAGTTTCAAGTCACCAGGTCTGGGACTAGAATCACAGGTGACCATGCCAACTGCTGGCTCCCAATCATACTTTTCTGTCTTGCTGAACCTATGCTATGGTTTGACTTGTCCCAAAGTTGGGAGCTGTGGACTTCCCAGGGCCCAGGCTCTCTGACTGGTACTATTTGTCACATTCTTCAGTCAACTTTCCAGGGGAGTGATTTTGGTAGTGCCCAAAATCCTGAGAGGAGAGTGGAGGAGGAGGAGGAATTGCAGCATGTCCATTCTCCCTGGGGGCTGATTTCTTGATTTCTGCCCCTCTGTTTCTCCAGCAAGTACATGTACCCTATAGCAAAAATCTCTGAGGAAAACAAACAAACCAAAAACAAAACAAAACAAAACAAAACAAAAACAAAAACAAAAACAAAAACAAAATTTCTGAAAAAAATTTGGACCAATCTTGAAACTTAAGTAGGAGGGAGGCCTGCATGCACTGTTTATGAAGGGCTGGCATTTCTCACAAGTGGCTTCATTCTTTGCTGGGACAGGCTGAAGAGAGTTTCTTAAGAAAGCAGCATGACTGGCTAAAAGGTGCTGCAAGGAGGGCAGGGGCCTGTCCATGGTCCATTCCCATTTCTTAGCCGGATGAGAGTTACACAATTAAACAAATAAACAAAAACACCTTCTTAGTCTTAATGGGAACAAACTGATCCCAACAGTAGGAAAAATCCCCCACATTTTAGGGTGCCTCAACGAGGCCAGGAAGCTGGAATGGTTAAGAGTAAAGGTCTTAGAAACAATGCCTGACTCTGCCATGTACTGAATACGAGCTCTTGGACCAGTGGCTTCTCGGTGCCCCAGTTGGCCCATCTGTAGACCAGGGAGAATAAGAGAGTCTACTTAACAGCGTATCTCAGCATTGAATAAGTGAATACTTGAGAAAGGTCTAGAAAGCTGTGCTGCAAATGGTAATTGCTCATTCACGAGAGCCCTATTCCTCTTATGGGTCATGCAAGCACATTTCATGTAGGCCTCCTTTCTGTGTCTACACAAAACATTATTTAAAAAATACTATTGAATCAAAGCAGCCATTACTTATATATTTATTATTATATAAGTTAATATTGAATTCAAATGGATATTACATAAGTTTATTAGCTATATTAATACTAAATGAGTCCCTGGCACAAGAACTATGCGTGTTCCTTAAGTAATAATTGATGTAAAATGTCTTGATGGGGTTGCGTCTAGCTTGCTGAGTCCCAGACAATCCGAAGTATTAACTGTGAGACGAAACAGGTGTACTGGTACTGGTATTAATACTGGTGTATTAGTACTCCAGAGGATGGTCACCTGAGTGTCCATGAAGTGACTTAAGAACCTTCTTTCTCTTTTTTCAGGGGAGAGCTTGCCATAGAACATAAAGGTCTGCTCTAATTGGAGAATGTCAGTACAAAAAAAAAAAAAAATTACTGAAAAGGGCTTTGAGGAGAGAGGAGGAAGAGGTGTGAGAATGAAAAGTGCAGAGCAAGGGGGCCGGGGTATTCACAGACAAAGTGAGGAAACATCCCTGAGCACCTTCCGATCGGTTATGAGCCAGGCCCCTAGCGTCATTATTCAGAGCGCTGAACGACTCTTTAGAGGGAGCAATTTTGATAATGCAGCAGGCTCTGTACTTTGCTTTAGAAGTCTGAGTCCAAGGGAATAAGCTCTAAATGCAAGCTTGAAATCTTTTTCTGAGTTCTTTTAGAGAGGATGACAAAGCTATACTCTCACCAATATCTTCTGGGAGTTGTGACATTTTCCTGGTTTCTACACAGCTAAAATCATAAACTAAATTTATACAAATGAAAAAAAAAGTGACCAAATATTCTGATTCGGAGTTTCCATTCTCGGGTACTCTGATTTTCTTCAACAGTAGGGAACTGCAAAAACAGCTATTTCATGTACTTGCCTTCTACCAATGTGCAAAGAAGTTTGTTCAAGGCATGAAGGAATTTGTAGTTGGGTGAATCCTTATTGCAGAGTCCTTTTAGCTGTAGCAATTATTTAAAAACTTGGTAAAGAAATGCCTGGCATTTAAGTAGGGGATGTGCCTGAAGGGATGGTCCTTGTCGTCTACCACGATATTTCCTCTCTCCATGTTGCCTTCTGATTTACAGTCAAATAGAATTCTGTGAGGGTTCAGTATTGGTTAGAGGTCAATATAATACATGAGAAGTTACCCAACAAATAGTGGCTGCCTTCTTAGCCCTTCCTCCTTCCATCCTCTACCTCTGTGACCAAATCCTAACAGAAGAGGATTCTTTTCTCATTCATTCTGAGGTCAAGGTAACTTGAAAAGAGGCCTTACCCTTTTCCTGAGGTTCTTGCCATCATGCCACGTATACGAGGAGCCGCTGGAGTACTCACTGCAAGTGCTTGAAAGAGACAGTTCACTACTGCTACAGCTGTTTCGAGGACAAAGATGACCAGGGACAATAACTCCCAAGCCGGGGCATTTCAAGGCAGGGGTTCCTGATTTTGCATTCAGTTGGCGTTCCTGAAAAAGCAGGACAGCTCTGAGTGAGGACTTTGCTTAGGGTAGAGTAAATACCAACTGAACTTCTAAGTGCCATAGGACGGAATTTAGAACAGTCATTAAGAACACAGACTTGGGACTCGGACTATAGGCTCAGATCTTGGTACTCGCTGTATGGCTGTGCAGAAATTATATAATCTCTTAGAGCCACATTGCCCTTTTGAAAGAGAATAATGATAACCCTGCCTACATTGCAAGCTTATTGCAAAGAATAAATGAGTTTGTAGATGTGAAGCACATAGCACAGTGTCTGACCTACTGCAGGTGCTCAATTATTCCTGGCAACCATCGTTATTAGACAAAAGTGCCATAATGGTGGTTTCTCATTTTATCCAGTCACACTAGCAAGATGAACAGATCAATATCAAAGCATGATTGTAATGCTACAAAAGGAAGAAGACAGAGTGGCACTGGTAAAGGGTTCAAGAACAGGAGCACTAATCTGTGAGTCTAGTGGTCTGGACCTCAGGCTACCAAATATGTCACCCTGATCAAAGAAAGCATATAACCTCCATGGACCTTATGTCATCCTTTGCAGACAGGGCAGCTCCAGCAGAGAACTCCTGCAGTCTCCTCTGACTCTCACAGTCTCACTATAAGCCAGCAATCAAATGTCATACCATATCTGAACCACATTATAGGAAGCGATGCACAGCAGACACCAAGCTCAGGTATCACAAGTCTCCACTGTAGAAGACAGTAGAGATAGTAAGACTTTTTTATAACCAGGTGGCTGTCCAAATGCTAGCAACCCTCATACTAAAAGACTGGGGTCTCATGTGTAAGGTCCAGGCTGTTAGGACTCCAGTGGGTCTGCATAAGGCCAGGGTGACGAATAAAGCTGTAAACACCCAAGCACATCTTGACAGCCACATTACAGGCCCCTCAAGTAACTGATGAAGCTCCAGGATCTGGACAGGCTAAATTAATTTAGCATCCTGACCACTGAGAATAGACTCTCTCTATTACTGTCTAATTCTAGTTTCCTGTCTATATAAAGCTTTGTCTCAGAAACTCTTTGATGGGGAGCCATCTGTCTTTGTGTCACTTGCAGAGTGGCAAAGCCTCTTACTTGTGCAATTTATTGACACTTTATAGGTGCCTTTAGTACCTGAGTACTTATCACTGTTCTCCAAGTGGAATTCTACTGACTATGACTAAACACGAGCTTGGGGAAGGAAGGTAATGATAATCTGAGGGTACTCATGATGTGTATTAACCCTATATAGGCACATAGAGCACTCTTGCCTTGCTCTCCAAGCGATCTCTATACTACTTAGTAATGTTAGATTTTCAGTATTAAGCACCTGCCTTGCTACCAATGCTTTCTTTTTCTTGTATAAGAATCTCAAGTGATCTAAAAATGCCAAGAAATTTTACTACTCTATTTTACCCCCTGAAATTTGGCTCTAAATATCATCGAAAGGAGAAATTTGTCTTAAAATCCAGCTTTCAGCATTATCTATTGATTTATGGCCTTGTTTATTGCCGGATGTAACTTAGTTAAGGGGAGCTCCTATTTATATCACAGCAGATGTCTACACGCAATGCTTTTATCACACAAGAGCACCTGGCATTTAAGTCTCAACTATTGTAGACATCTGGAATGTACCCTGAACAAACTTTCAGAAAAATCCTATTAACCTCCACTTTAAACCTGTGCATTTCCCATTTTCTCCACCCCATTCTCTCTAATTTTGTAGTTTTAACGAGCAGGGTGGTGGTTGTTTTGTAGGACTACTTCCTTTTTTAGAAAATTATTTTATATATTCAATCACTATACATCACTACAACTTGTAAATTTACACAACATGAATACACTTCACACCAGTCCCATTGAAGATACCATACATGCTATCATAACAGATAATCATCCATTTCTGTGTCCCATAAATGTATTGCCTCTCTATTATTTCTTTAGTTCCCTTTTTCTCACTCTTCTGCTCCTTCACCCTGTTCCCATACCATCTCCAGTATCTGTAACCATTTTCTATGCTTCTATATACCCTAATCTTTCAGTTTCTGCCGTAGAATGAGGACAGTCAGTATATATTAAGTTGAGACATACAGTATGTCTCTTTCATAGCCTGGCTTGCTTCACTCAACAGTAAATCTTCCACATTCATCCACCTTCTATCAAATGCCAGGGTCTTGTTGCTTTTTATGGCTGCATAGTATTCCATAGAGTATATGCACCACACTTTTTCAATTCATTCATCTGTTTGTGGACATCTGGGTTGGTTCCATGACTTCTACTCTGACAGCTATGCCTACACTCCAGAAAAAAGACTGTCTGTGTCATCCAAGCCTACCCAGTTTTATACTTCTCCAGTGGCCTTTTCATATACTATGTGGCTTTGGATCCAGTTCATATTCTGTCTCCTTCCAAAGGATGCAGTTCTTTTTCTACCCATCTGTCTTCCCACCACACCTATCAAAATTACACCTATATTTACAACAAAATCATTTTCCAGACGTTTTTTTCTTTTCTTCTTTTTTTTTTTTTTTTTGGAGAGGTTTTTGCTATAGGGCACATGCGCTCGCCAGACAGACAGAGAGAGACAGAGAGACAGAAAGCGAGAAATCACCTCCAGGGGGGATGGTCATGCCGCAATCCCTTCCCCTCCATTCTCCTCTTGGGATCTTGGGCATGCACGCACACGCGTGAGTTTTAAGCCACAGGGTCCGGGATGTGAACCGTGGTTGACTATGTGGGAGTCCAGCGACATAGCCATTACACCAACTGCTGGTTCCCTCCAGACCTCTTTTGATGAAGAAGCACCTTTCTCTAGTCATCATCCATGTATGTACGTCCTATACAGGTATTGAATTATGATGGCAGAAACTAGAACTCAGAAGACAGGTTGGAATGAGAAGGAATTGTTGCCTCTCCTTTGTCCTTGAACTTGAGATGCTTGGATGTGACAGAAGACACTTTAGGGAGGGAGAAAAGGCCTGTCAAACTCATGTGGTAGCAGGCAGGAGGCAGGGGGTGGTTAAACAGAAAGGTATTCTTTAAGAGGGCTTTTTGCACTTTAAAGTGCACATGAATCATTGCCTGGGGATCTTGTTAAATGCAGATTCTGATTCAGTAATTCTGAGGCAGGACCTGAGATATATGTAGTATTTTTAACAAGTCCCCAGGTGCTTTGATGCTGCTAGTACATGACCTTGAGCAGTGACCCTCTAGGAGGGGCTACTTGAGAGGTCTATTTCCTGTGTGGCTTCCTTGTTACCTTGTAGTGTCATCTCTGAGCCTGACTTGGGCTGTGCTAAGTGAGACAAAGGAACAGCTGAGCCTACCCATGGCCCGTGAGTTGGGGAGGGTGTGTGTATAGATGTGGGGACTGTTGGTTCCAGGATAATTAGGCCTACACCTCCCTACTGGGAAATTACTCCATTCCTCATCATTGAACAATCAAAGAATCATTGAATAATCAAAGAAAATTAAATTTTCTTTTTCTTTTTTTTTTTTTGGAGAGGTTTTATTTTATTTGCTATAGGGCGCGTGCGCTTGCCAGACAGACAGAGAAACAGAGAGACAGAAAGCAAGAATTTGCCTCCCAGGGGGAACGGCCACGCCGCAGTCCCTTCTCCTCCATTCTCCTCTCGGGATCTTGGGCATGCACGCACACGTGCCTGGCGTGAGTTTAAGCCACCGGGTCTGGAACTTGAACCGCGGTCGACTATGTGGGAGTCCAGCGACACAGCCATTACGCTAACTGCTGGTCCCTCAATGTTTAAATTTAAAAGGGGCTTAGAATCACTAACATCATGCAGCAAAGATAGCTGTTTGTTTGTTTGCTTGTTTGTTCATTTATTTCTATTTTTCTCCCTAGAGCTTCCTTTTATCAGCCCATGATTATCATCCAGGGTTATCTATCTACCCTAGTGATCTCTGACTGGGCACCTGAACTTCAAGGCTATTGATGAGGCTTAAATCCTAGACCCCTCATTTCCTAGCTCTTAGAACTTGTGAAATGTACTTATTCCCTTGGTGCCTCAGTTTCTTCTTTTGTAAATGCAGAGAATGAAAGCACCCACTACATTAGACCATTGTGAAGAGTGAATAACCTCTGGTATATAGTAATACTTAGGAAATTTTAGGTGTTGCTTCTATTATTAAAACCTGTTTTAAAAATTAATTGCCAGGGAAAGTGTAGATTGACCAGAGAGAGAGAAAATGTAATTCCTTCTCCTCCATTAATCCATCCTGTCAGGATTTTGGGCATGCATGTGCATAGACCTGGTATATTTTTCAAGTGCTGGGACTGGGACTTGAACTGAGGTCAGCTGCCTAGGATCCAGCTCAGAAACACTTTGATGGGGAGTCATCTGTCTTTGTGTCACTTCCACTAGAGTACTACTTTTTAATATATAGGTGGTGGGGGGAGGTCCTTCAAAATTTTATGGAAAATATGTTTTATGAAAAAGTTATTGGGACCAGCAGTTGGCGTAATGGCTATGTCGCTGGACTCTCATGTAGTCGACCACAGTTCAAGTCCTGGACCCGGTGGCTTAAACTCATGTTGGACACATGTGCATGCCCAAGATCCTGAGAGGAGAAGAGAGGAGAAGGGATTGTGGTGTGGCCATCCCCTCTGGGGGGTGATTTCTCGCTTTCTATCTCTCTGTCTCTCTCCGTCTTTCACGCCCTACAGCAAAAACCTCTCCAAAGAAAAGAAAAGAAAAGAAAAGAAAAGAAAAGAAAAGAAAAGAAAAGAAAAGAAACTTATATACTAACAAGAAAGAAAGAAAAAGTTATGGCTTTCAAAAACTTTTTGCGCCCAAACAACTGGTAGTATAATTCTATTTTTCCATGAATTTTATGAAGTACACTCAAAAATATGTATTCATACACATACACACATCTTCATTCTACAGTTAAACCATAAATCTGTAGTCTCCATAGAAGGCCATGTTTTTTCATTTGCTTTTTTTCTTCCCTGAGAGGTTTTTGCTATAGGGTGCAAATGTTTGCTGGAGAGACAAAGTGAGACAGAGAAACAAAAAGCGAGAAATCACTTCCCAGGGGGATGGCCATGCCACAATCCATTCTCCTCCATTCTCTTTGCAGGATCTTGGGCATGCACCAATGTGCCCAGCGTGAATTTTAAGCCACAAGGTCCAGTACTTGAACCTCAGGGGTTTACATGGGAGTCCAGCAATGTAACCATTATGCCATCTGCTGGTCCTGGAACCCTGTTTTATATTTCATGATATAAAGGTAAGATAACTTTGTTGGGTAATGGTCCAAAGTGGGACCCTTAGTTTCCACAGCTTGCTGAGGTGTGCTTCTGGACAGACTTACCAGTATATACCTTTCTCAGTTATTTCTATCTCTTCTCTATTGTTCTGTGGCTGTGGTATGGGGCCACATATTAAAAGAGAACAGGAAGAGGCTAAAGCAACAAAGATCTTATTATGGTCCCAACATTGTTAGCAGGCACTGTGTTACACACATTTCATGTATTATCTCATTTAATCCTCACCACAGTGCTCTGAAATGGAAATATCATTATGTTCATTATCTCAGTGGAAAACAGAGATTTTAACATACTGCCTGAGGTCACTCAGCTAACAGAACATTCTGATATCAGGCTCTCATCCAGCTATTATGTGTAACACCAAGTAAGATCCTTGACAAGGAGCAGGACTCCTAGAGATGTACAATATATCAAGAATTCCGGGAACCAGCAGTTAGCATAATGGCTATGTCGCTGGACTCCCACGTAGTCGACCGCGGTTTACGTCCCGGACCCGGTGGCTTAAAACTCACGCCGGGTGCATGTGCGTGCGTGCCCAAGATCCCGAGAGGAGAATGGAGGAGAAGGGATTGTGGTGTGACCATCCCCCCTGGGGGGTGATTTCTCGCTTTCTGTCTCTACGTCTCTCTCTGTCTGTCTGGTGAGCGCATCATGCGCCCTATAGTGAAAACCTTTCCAAAAAAAAAAAAAAAGAATTCCACTGAGCATAGGTGGCATTAGTAACATATCATGATTCTTAAAATTCTTCCTTCTCAAGAAATGTATACTGGCTTCCATTGCAATACTATTTTAATTATGTTGATTTAAATAGCAAAATAGTACTATTCAAAGTGTCTATTTCTCATTGTGTATTTTAGATTACTCTCTTGAACAACGCATATGTTTGAACATCATTACTCTGAGAAACACAGTATAAAACCTACATTCTAGTTAAAAAATAGACATATGGAGCATGAAGCCAAGAGTGTCTTAGATAAAAAACAACTTCACATTTAAAAATGTTCTGACCTTGAAGCCATATTATGGATTGGATGCCATCAGGTCTTAATGAATTTAAAATGACAGCAATTCAATGGAATTTAATTCCAGTCTAACTTGAGAATACTCACTTTTGATATTGACTATCTTTTCTACCCTGACAAAATTATACAGTAAAATTTAAAGAAACTGGTTATCCACAAATCTTCATGTCATTTTTTTAAAGCCTAACATTTTTCATTATATATTTATTTGGCTGTTGTGTTTTTTCAAGTTGCTCTTTTTATGTCAATGAGAGTTAAAAACCATACTGGTTACAGTTTTGCCAAATAAGCACAAAGCTAACCCTAGCTAAAGAAAGAAAAATGCAGAGCCCATGAATTTTTAAAAGTTCATACATAATATATCATAAAAGTAAGATGAATAATATGGGACATGGGCTTTAATAAAAAGCTCCTTGACCATTTCTCAGAGACTTTGAGATGTAATCAATACCCAAAAAGGTATCTTGGGGACAAAGTCAAGATTTATGATATTTTTGCCGAGAGTGACACTTTCTGCTTATTATATCAGCTAGGGGAACATGGTATTGAATTTCAGAGAACACACGAAAGGAAGGTATTTTTATCTGCCTGACAATGCTTCAAGGATGTACTTTATGGTTCGCTTGTGACATCATATTTGATGGAAGGAAAAATAACAACCTAAACAAGTGTTTTGAAGGCAAGTGGGAAACTCACATGTAGCTCAACATCAGTTTGTGACTGCGTCAGACTCTGGCTTCTTTCCACCTCTGAAAGCAAATCTCCAGATGAAAGGTCTAAGATGCGTGAATGAAGTTTCTAGGCAAAACCAAGCAGAAACACTGAATAGTGATAATTTAATGATTTGTTTAAAAATTCTGCCTTGGACAGCTAAATCTCAAGAGACGATAGTCTCAAATTAAATAATACACATCCTAATTCAAAAAAGGTTTATTCTAGCCTTTCATATATATATGCAAATTATGTTTTATAGGCAATAATTACGCTTTTGCAGTCTGTCAGTCTGCCTTGAAAAGTAAGTAATAGGGAAAAATAGCTGGAAAATAAATAGCACGAAAAGTGTGAGTACCTACTATACTTATTGGCTAGTATGCAAGTTAATTTTGATACTCACATTTAAAAGCCAGTCACCAAGTTAACCTTATTATGTTGAGCAGTGGTCAACATCTGGGCAAATAATTATAAAAGTGACCTTAGCTTGAAACAGCATTGATCTTGTGAAATCTTCCCTTGGACACATTTTTAACTCAAAGTCGTTAATGTCATCTGTTAGGAACAATTAATGTGAATAGAAAATAATTGCATCAGGGACCTGGGGACTGGGAGGATTTTGTGCATTAATATTCACGTGCTATTCGATTATATACTGAATCTTTTATTTCAGTTTTGCTTGGGAGGCCTGCTAAACCAGGGACATTTCACTATATTAATTTTATACTAATTACTAAGGCTTTTCTGTGGACATTAAATTTGATCTGTTTAATTGCAAACACAATAAAACTTGTGATTTATGTCTAATGTTTCTGTGAGGCCGATGATATTTTTAAAGGGGTACTTGGAGCCTGGTTTGTCTTGATTACAACTTTTGTGACTTCAGATACTAAAACAAAATCTAAGCGAGTAAGTAAATAATGTGGCTAACATGTCTCTTTCACCTCTGAAAAGTTTTTCTACTTTTCTTTTTGTAGGTCCTGTGCATACGGAGGCTGATCCAATACATGTCATAGATTCTCTGTCACCAAGTAATGCTAGATGATCTCAGAGTGCAGGGGTTGCCTCACCGGTCAGTTTGATCTGGTAGATCTACCACGCTTTCAGCAGGGGCCGTACCCTCCACTAAAATAAACCACATTCCTTCTGCTCCTCATTTGACTCATTCCCTTTCTGTTGCACTGTGAAAGCCCTGCATATTTGATTAGTTGGTCACATAACAAATATTTTCTCAGCACTTAATGAAGAATAAGAACTGTGTTAGGGTATTCTCTGTCCTGCTGCAGGGGTGAAGGTACAGGTTGAGTATCTCTTATTTCAGGTTTCTCCAAAAATGTGAAATCTACAATGCTCTAAAATCTGAAACTTTTTAAGTGCTAACATGATGCCACAAGTGGAAAGTTCTACACCTGAACTCGTGATGGGTAGTAGTCAAAATGCTTCCATACAAAAAGGTACAAAATTACCTTCAGACTGTGCATAAAAGGTGTATGTTACACATAAATGAATTTCATAGTTAGATGTGGGTCCCATCCCCAGAATATATCATGCATATGCAATTATTACAAAATTACAAAAAAAAATTCCTAAATCCAAAATATTCCTGGTCCCAAGTACTTCAGATAAAGATAATCAACTTGGGTTTTCTCTGTTGTGGGTAGATCAGTTCTCTTTCTTATCAATGCAGCTTCAGGTCACTTGCCTCACACTTAAACCTTAGCTTTTCACAGTCCTTTGTGGAGGTACCTTCACAACAACAGGAATAATTCCTAAACTGGGTACCTGTTGCTTTAAGAACTTAAATTTCTCCAGTAGAGCTAAGACCTCGACAGATAACTAGAACCATGAGATTGCTTCTGGATTATTTTCATAATCCTTATCTCAAGTACCTTCTAGAATCTGAGTTTTCTGGGTACGAAGATAGACTTTGTTATCATTTAATCCCCAGAACCTGTCATAATGTATTACACTCAGAAATACCCAATAAATGCTTGTCGTCTATAAAGAAAAAGGTGGCTTTACATTTTCCCCACCCATATATAGGTTTTAAAGAGTGAGAGAGCCGAAAGAATGATAATGTTCTGAAACCTAAGAATACATTTAAAATATGCAAGCAGTATAAGAAGTTATGGGAAATGACATTCAACAAAAGAAGTGATGATTTTGAGTGGTATATCATGTGATTTGGGGAAAGCGTCCTCTATAGATTAGATATCTGACTTCTTATTCAGCTCATGACTGCATTTCATTGTGACTTCTCAGATACATGATGTCAGCTTTCTGCTTACTGCATGAATATCTGCATGTATAACCCACCCATTTAAATGATGTTATGTTGCCATGGTTTTTATCCAGACAATACATCCCTTCCATCAAAATAGTTAAGGTCTGTGTGTGAGAGAGAAAGAGATCCTGGGGCAAGGGCCCAGGAGACCTGAGTTCCAGCTCCATCTCGGGCACAGGTTTTACAAGATCTCAGGAACGTAATCACACCCCTGACTCAGATCCTGCATATGTTAAAAGGATGGTAGTGGCTTATTTAACCCACGCAAGGTTTTAAGAGTCACTGCCATGGTAAGAAGGGACAGCAAATACATTCATACATTAGAAGGCACATAGTTTAATACTAATTTATTGTTATAACTGAGAGTTATAGGTAGGTGATTACTTAAATAATAAAATACAAAAAACCCACTTTTTTATTTTCCATATATGTAAGGAAAAAAAAAACTGACTTAAAGGAAAACAAAATATACTTCTGTGTTAAGGCTGAAGACCAGAGAAGGGTAGGTAAATATGATCTTTATTTTTTTAAGAGGTTTTTGCTATAGGGTGCGTGCGCTCGCCAGACAGACAGAGAGAGACAGAGATAGAAAGCGAAAAATCACCCCTCAGGGGAGATGGTCACACCGCAATCCCTTCTCCTTCATTTTCCTTTCAGGATCTTGGGCACACACGCACACGCGCCCGGCATGAGTGTTAAGTCACTGGGTCCGGAACACGAACCGCGGTCGACTACGTGGGAGTCCAGCAACATAGCCATTATGCTAACTGCTGGTCCCCAGTAAATATGATCTTTTCAAATTGACTTCCCTTAGCCATGAATGCTCACAGGTCCAGATACTATACTACTTTCAAGAACGTTGAGGAAAGACTTACAGCTTTACACCTATACATGTGTTTATATAATATTATAATAAATGCATTCTTAAAGAAGTACATATCTATGAAGAGACTTCATAAAGCTTATGGAAAAATAGGATTCTAATATAAGGATATTTTGGTGCATGTATAATATGCATTTTCCATAATACGCATTTTTCGTGATTCTTTTGAAGACTCCTCATTTATGTCTCTCTATATATTATCAATTTTAAAACTGCTTTTGTGATATTATCTGTATTAATCAGATCTTGGTAAAAATAAGATGAAATATATTAATGAAAAATTCAGTTAAAGCCATTGTCAGAAGGAACATACCTAATGCAAGAATGCTATGAACTCTCAGAAACATTCACCTGCTTAGTTAGAGGGCAAATCCTCCATCTCACACCTGTGTAAAGTTCATATTTACATTAGTGTCCATCTGGATAAAGTCTCTCACCTGAAATACTTTAAACTTCAAATCTCAACCTACAAATCTAGACAAACCCATGATTTAGACATGTTTTAAACATGCATGATTTAGACATGTTTTGTCTAGCCTCAAGAGGTGGCAAGATTACTCAGTACAGGTCTCGTATCATCTGTTACATGTCTCAGGAACTGACATTCCACTCGGTCTTAGAAGTAGATTCCTTGCACATTTCACAACCAGAGATGGTGAGAGATCTTTCAGTCCAACACTCCCCTTGATAGTAACAGTCTCACATCCCTTTCTGTCAAGCTGGTTTCACTGTCTCCATGACATGCCTCTCTCCTTTGTTTTGTCCTTTTTGTGGGATACTCTCCCTGCTCCTAACACCCTATCACAAACCTCCCGTTATTCAGGACTATACTAAAACACTGTGTTTTAACAGAAGATTATCTGTCCTCTGTAGCTCACAGTGGATTCTTCATCTTCATGGATTATGTCATGCCCTCATATTGGCCCTTTATCTGAAATGCACTACCCGTGAATTTTTCCAACTTGTTAGTTCTGTTTCCCAACAGGACAATTGGCTCCATAGGAAACAGGTCAAGCCCTATATTTCTGCTTGTTTCTGTGGAAGAGCCTGGTTGTCATGGAACCTCATCCCTCTTGCAAGGCACACAGATGGATGGCATCTTCTAACCTCCCTTGCAGTTAAGTATGGGCAAGTGATACAGTTAGTTCTAGACAATCGAGTGTCAGTGAAAGTGGTATCTGCCCTTCCTGGCTTGGCCCACGAATACTTCATGCATGTGGTTCTCCACACCCTCTCTCCTTCCACAAGCTTGACAGAGCCAACTGCACAGATCTTTGGAAGCCACAATGTCCATGATAGGGCTGATCTGGTGAAAGGAGTATAGGTGCTTCAATTGGTAACTGGGAGAGAGCCACTCTGAGACCAGAAATACCTTGTTTGGACTTCATATGAAAAAGAAATAAGTTGTGACTCATTTGGGGTTTGTTTGTTATCAGAGCTAACACACTGACCTGGCAAATGTAGAAATGTAGTCCTCCTCTGAGATAAGCACTCTGCAGCATTATTGCTGTTATTATAGAATGACTGTTCAATATGCTTATGTATGCATATTTATAAGTATACATATCTCTATGTTTATATATATGTGTGTGGGGGTATATATATATATATATATATATATATATACATACATACATAAACACACACACACGCATGTGCACACTCATAATCATGCATCACTTAATGATGGGGCTCCATTCTGGGAAATGCACCCTTATGTAATTTCATCATTATGTGAACATCACAGAATGTGCTTACACAAATCTAGATGCTTTAGTCTATGATGCATCGAGGCTACATGGTATAGCCTGTATGTATGCTCCTTGAGGGACCACTGCTGTATATGAGGCCTGGCATTGACCAGAACATCATTACATGGCACATGATTGTTTACACATGACCACATGCATATTTGAGGGG